GTAATACATTCAAGATCAAGGCAGTCAAATGGCAGGCACCTGTTTAGTCTTGTCTGTTATGTATGAGCAATGCATTAGAATACATAGAAAAACTAGGGTCATTTAAAATTGTAACTGTTCTGTATAGATAGTGTATTAAGGGGGAAAAAATCACCTAGTCATTAGTGCTTATTTACTCTGGCAAATTCAGCATTAATTGAACATGAATTGAAACAGAAAAGGCCACTGAGCTTTTCTCATTAGAGCCTATTCCATTAAGGCTTTTCTAGGAACTTTCTTGTTTATACCCAGTAAACTGTTTAATAGGGTAACCTACCCTTCTTGATATCAAAATTTGAAACAGGCAATCATATTGTTTGTAGAAGGAGCAGCTATGATGGGTAAGGGATTGACAGTAAGAAGAATGACAAACACTTAACATCATTTAACAACAAAGGCATGGTGTCTACCTTCAGCAATTTTTCAACCTAATGCTGGAAACAATATTCATACAGTAAGTTAAGTGTTCTGATATAGATGTCATAGGGTGAAATTCGTAATTGATGCCGCTTCCCTAAAATGACTAACTGATGTCATTATTAGAAAGCAGCCAATAAAAAGTGCTCTGTTTTCTTTAGGGGGGAAAAGTAACTTGACATAAAAGACAAAAATAGCAGAACTGGGGGGAAATCACCAGTCATGGACTTATAGCTCAAAGTGCATCATGGCCCTATGACTGGGGCATAATCTCCCCTTTGACTTCCTTACCTGATAAACAGGCATGAGAATTTTGAAGAGTCCACATTAGTTGTTGACCGGAAAACTCAAAGGGGATAACAGATGTGGGAAAGCATGTGGTGAAAAGTACAATAAAAATATGCTTATTCATTGACCATCTGCTATAATCTGGACATTCAGAACGAAACCAAGATTAAAAGGGCACAGCCTGCCCTCAAGAAGTTAAAAACACACACATATATGAGATGAAGAAATGAAAAGGTGAAAAGGGTAGGTATGCAGATGGGGGTCTGCAAAGTGTATCCAATTAAAAGAGTAGGAGAGTTCTTCATTATTTTTTCCCCAGTCATGTCCAGAGAAGGGAGGTGTACATCTTGGAAAATAATTTTGATGGCTTTAAGAATTCCAAAGATTGATATATCTCCTAAATGATCATTTGTTGTTTATTGATTGAGCTATATTACCATGCCATGTGCTATGTTTACAGAGATGAACAAGACTTTCAAATCTCATGTCTTCAGGAAGCCCCACTGGAAAAAAAAAATGTATCATGGGCAATACAGTTATTTACTATAAGTTTGAAACCTGGAATTACCATTTATTAGATGTACGACTTTGGGAGATTCCAGTGGCCTATCTGAGTCTTACTTCCTCATTTTACAATGAGTAAAATATTATCTTAATTTTGTGAAGAGATTGTTAAGGGGATTTAATGAGATAAAACAATTCAAAAAATCCACCTTGCACTATGGCTGGCACAAAATAAATTAAAGGTATTTTTAAAGTTGCAATTACATTTAGTGATAGTATTGTTACCCTTTCAAAAAGGTGACTCTACAAAATTTTATATTTCTTCCAAGTAATTTCCTAGAATGAAATTAGATGTCTTAACTTAGGCTACTAGTATAGAGAGACTGAGTGGCCTGGAAATACCATAAATACTGACCACTCATGAGCATTTATTTCACCATATGCTTGAAAAATTCTCAATGTGCCAGGGGTTCCATGCCTCCGAAAAGGTGCAAGTGTCTTAAATATTCTTTGCAGTCTCGTAAAACTTGTGAATTTCTACTTAATGATAAGGTGCAGTTCTAGCATCAGATTCCAATGGAAATCAAGATGTCTCCATTTTCATCCTAGTCAGTGCTTCCCTAAAGCTTTGTGCATATTTCCGTCGTAGAGCTGTTATTCCTGCACCATTACAGCATGTTACTTGTCACTGCATCCTACTGGAGTGTGAGTGATTTTTTTTTCCCACTATTTTTATGCTCTCAAGATGTAACACAACTTCTGGAACAAGAACTTGGGCGTTGGGCTCAAACTAACAGATCTGCCTCCTAACTATCTCTGTTCTTAGTTTCCTAACCTTTTTCTAACTCTGTTTTCTCACTTATAAAATAAGACTAATAATAATCATAGCGTAATTATAACTTGAATATTAAATAATCATTGGAGAAAGAGTACCTAACACAGGGGACCATGTTCAATAAACTGTAGTGGTTACCGACATCATCATCTTCATCATAGGAATAAAAAGCCAAGGAAAATGGTGACTACACGTGGTTCAGAAACATGGTTCAGTGCAACAGCTATCACTCTGGAGTCAGACTTCCTGCATTTAGACTCCGGCTTCCTTTGTGACATTCAAGCGTGACTCCTCATGTGTAACAAGAAAAGTCATGTTTATAGTACCTACCCTCATTGATGTACTGTGAGAGTTAAATCCTATAATACATGCAAAGCTTTTAGTATACAGTAAGAAGTCAATAAATACAATGTTAAAGGCAAATATTAAAATATATTCTCAGATATTTCAAACACTTTTTTATCAGATATAGATCTTGTCTTTGGTTTTCGACTGAGACTTCGCTGAATGCTAATACATTTTCACAGATGACATTCTCCCTTCTAAGGCATTTACTCATTTTAGTAATGAGGTTTATTAAAGAGTTTTCAGAACTATCCTTTGTGGAAATTAAAGTTCTCTTCTAGAGATCATGTCTATATTCATTTAACTCTTGGTCATAATTACTTTTCACCATTTTGTAATATAAAAAACACTGGGGTCAAATTGACCTTAGAAGTGATGAGAAATTGATGGCTTTGCCAAGCACACAATTTTCTCATTCCTGAATTTGCGAACCACAGACTCCCAGACTGCATTTCAAATGACATTTCTCTTCAAAGCTCATATAATAATAAATAACTCCCGTGTTCAAGCACCAAAATATGTTCAAAACTGGTTAAGAAAATGCAGAAGTCTTTACATGTTAATCCGCCAAGACAAACCAGGTGACTCCTTATCCTTTGTTACTGAGAAATTTAGCATTCATCTCACCTGAAGGTTGAATTTAATTCCGTCAAGTTCTCTTGATGTCTTTGTCAGCCGACGGAGGATGGTGCTTCGCTCCTTAAAGACTTCTTTCAGTTGCTTCTCTAGCTCTTCATAGTCCTGTCTAACACAGAAAGAAAAGGCATGAGAGCCCCCCAAACGCTTCCACTTGGCTCCAGCCACTTCGGCCATAATCACAAACCCTTGCATCTTGAGCAAAATCTAGATGACTTGAGACCTTAATTACTAGGATGCTTTGTTTTTATTATTTTGTCTAAAAAAGGAACGTTGAAAAGCTAGTTTTATAAAAAAAAGATTTCATTTTGCATTGACGACTACTCAGGCTATGGAGAGTTTCTAGAGCAGTTTATCAGACACCTCTTGGAAAATAGATATTTTCTGTGGTGTTTCACACTGTTTTCTAAGGTCCTTGAAGTTTTCCATCAAGAGATATGACTTGAACCAATGTATCTTAGAGATGTAGACAGGTTCTGACAGCAGGGGGACAAACTTGGAGGCTGAACCAAAACAGAATGGAGGGGCCTTGCTTCACCCTGGTTATAGGGAAGGAAACACATTGAAAAATCACCTCTTTCCAAATGTATCTAAGAATCTTTATTGCCATTAAAAAGTAGTGGAAGAAGCAAAATAACTCCTAAAAATCAGTCCATAAATAGAGTAATTAATGTGAAATTTGAACAAATTTGTTAACTGTTACCATGGAACTTTTATTTATCTCAGTATCATATATATATATATATATACACACACACACACACACACACATTTTTTCATTTTTCTTGTATGGTCTTTGCAAGATAATAAGGTACTGTAATTTTAATTTTTCCAACATAAAAGAATTGGGCTCCGAAAATGTAAGTCACTACCTTAAGATCCTTTTAAGGAATAAATGAACAAGTAGTCTGTGTGTATGTGTGTGCGAATATGTTTGTGTATGTTAAGGCAAATATGTATGTGCAAGGGAAGAATGTAAACATGGAATATACATTTCCAGTACAGCCTAGAACTATACCTGAATAGGGGAAGCTTAAAAATGATTAATTGGAACATACAGGCAATTAGACGTTAGAGTTGCTAATCCAGGGAAGACTTCCTGGTAAAAGTAATATAAAATATATAATATGCACTTTGAAAGATAAGTAGAAATTAGGTATATGAGAGAGGAAAGCAGGTGTAAATACTAATGAAAATAAGTCTACTGAATTTAAAAAGTGCATAAATGTCAAAAGGTTTGGAATAGTAAATGGGGGTTGAGAAATTTGCTGCTGAAATTAGGATGTGGAAAGCATGAACGAAAGTGCCAGACTCTTAAATGATAGTTAGGAATATGGGCATTGTTTTGAAAACAAGGGGAAGTAACTGAAGGGTTTTAAGCAGGGAGTGGCATGGTCAGCTTTATGTTTCGGGGGAGATTTCCCTGGCTAGGGACTGGGGAATGCATTGGAAGGCATTCCCTGGAGTAAAGGAGGCTAAGGAAGTTACCACTCCAGTATTCCAGGGAAAAGACTGTGGTGTCCTAAATTAGATTAGAAGCAGTGGAGACAGGGAAGCTTGGATTGATTTTAGCAAAACTTACAAAATCAAATCAGTAACATATAATTTTAAACAATTACTTTGTATGTGTATGTTACAGGGAAAAGAGTTAGTTATTAATGTTGCCATGTCTCTGGTTTAGAAAACAGCCCTCCTCTGAGAGACAATTCATAGTACGAACAGTTTTTTAATGAAAGCTGGTGGACAAGTTCAATTTTAAACTTGTGAGAAAATGGCTCAAACTCTCTCATCCTTAGTTTCTTTATCTGTAAGATGCAATGCTACATTCACCTCACCCAGATCATTATGTGTTACAGAGTGAGCAATCTGTGTAAATCTTTGAACCCATAGTAGGTAATTAATTTTTAAAATATATAAAAGTTTTAATGAGAAGTTTGATGAATTCACAGCCTTTCTGCGAATTATAAAGGAACTGGGTCCATCCTATTATAGATGCAGGCCATCTTTAATAGGTTTCTATTACAATTTTTTGCCTTTTCTCATTTTTTAAATGCAGGTTTCTAGTACTCTTCACATTCTTCTTGTTAGAAGGAAATTGGAATGTTCCACTTTGCAAGAACCTCAATATTTCTCTCTGGCCTTGAGATTTTCACTGATGAAGAGTAACCAGTCAGTAACCAGACATGTATTAATGCCCTAGGTTTCCTTGTAGTCTCACTAATGTCAAGTCAGTTAATGAAAAGCAAAGCACATTGTCGTTTACTTCTAATTATACAACTTTACTTCATGACCTACTTTGTTCCTCCTGAAAGTTTGACAATAAACACATCTCCAAAATAACCTTAGGTGACCATAATAAATCACAGTGTTAGATAATACACATTGACAATGTATTACATGTGTGAAAGAAAATACTGCAATGTGAGTGAAAATACTGCAAACATATCAGTAAACAAAGAATGCTGAAACCAAGTCATCAGTGGCTGCCGCCACCCCTCAGTGGGGACGGGCCTGCAGCCACTCACAATGGTGCCCTCTGAGCGGACTCAGAATCAGGACAGGATACCGGCCCTAGATGGCTAGGTGCTTGTCAAAGGAATGAATTCAGTGAGCCCAAATGTTTGCTTCCTCCCATACATAG